CCTTGTGCCATGAGGACCATGTACCCTCCTTGGTATTTCTATGGTCATGCTAAATAAGCAATTCCTTGTAAAGCCAGATAGGATATGTCTTGCTACTAGACTCTGAGGCCTCAGAGGCCAGGATCTGCCTGTCCTGTTGCCAGTAGGGTTTCCTGTGGCTGAGCCTACAGGAGCAATCAGTGTCCAGTGTCTGCCATGTCCTTTCCTTGCAGGACATTTTTCTCTCCATGGTTCAGAGCATCTGTTGATATGCCTTTATCCATCCTGCCAGTCACTCTTGAGAAGCCTCCTGGTTTTAGCAAGCAGGAGGAGCTGTGTTTATTGCTCAGCTGGACTTCCACAGGACCTCTGTCCTTGAGGCTCAGAGGAAGTGCTCCAAGGAAGGCCACAAACAGCAGCAATGATCCTTGTGTTGGCCGTGGCTCTACCTCCATCCCTAATCTCAGCCCCATGCCACAGTCTCATGGGAAAAAAGGCCTTACCTACCATAATGAGTAAGAACAGGTGGTAGTGCTTCCTGAAGCAAGATCATGTCCAAAATGACCACTACCTTGTCACTTCCCCACTCAGGGGATCCCAAAATTGGTCCTTGAGATCCACGGTTTCAATGTAGTCTGTGTGCAGCATCTCCTTCAAAATTAAAACAGGAGACACCCAACCAAAATAAACTATCATTTGTTCCAGACATAACACTCCTGGGAATGTACCAGAAAGATTCTATGCCAGGGCACCCCAAAGACACATGAACATGTCCATTTATTATAGAATTAGTCACAATTAGCCAAGATATGGAGCCAGTCTAGATGGTCACCAACAGATAGAGTGAGAAACACGTGCACGGTGGTGTTTATTCTGCCATAAAGAACAGAAGTGTCATCTGCAGGAAAATGAGTGGACAGAGAGATCGCTGTGCTAAGTTAAACAGGACAAAGACTGCATGTGTTCTCCCCTATGCAGAATCTGAATAAGTTATGGAAGCAGGAAGAGAGTCGGTCGTGCTGGAGGACGGAAGAGTCTACAGGGAATGGAAGCAAGAGAGGGAAACAGCAAACAGAAAAGAGTGACAAATATGTAAGTTTTTTCTTATAGATAGAGAACCAAGATTTATATACACACATGCACACATACACACATGCACATATGCATGCACACACACAAGCACACATGCGCACCCACATGCATGCACACACATACACACATGCACACATGCATGCACGCACACACAAGCACACATACACATATGCACACACACATATGCACGCATCAGCTCGTGCATACACACAGGGTATGAAAACAGAAGCAGAAATCATTTAGGGAAGGAAAGAGGAAGCAGTAGCAAGCTACCTAACAGCATCAGATCGCCTCACCCATCCATGCAAGAAAGATCTCTTTTGGTTAAAAACATTACTCTGAAAAAACATACCGAGAGTGTTCCCACATCCTTTGTTCACTTCAAGGACAACGGGTCACCAAATGTCAGCAAAGCTCACAACCAGAGACTAAGAATAATGTGTCTACTGCTCTCTTCCTCCTGCCCCCTGACCAGGCTCTGCCCCTAGTCAAGGCATCGCAGACCCTGGATGTTTCTTGCCAGGCACATTTAGAAAACAGTGTCACCCTCAGGTGACATCTCTGCTTCCACACAACTGGCCCTTTCTGAGCTCACAGTTCCAAAGCAGGCCTGGGAGTACTAGATCCACTAATGCAGTTTATGAGCTCCTGCTTAGCAGTCTGGAAGCTTCTCAGCTCCTCTCCTGCTGAGCCAGCCTTGAAGTCAGAGAGAAATCTGCTTCTTGGGCATCGTTAATGAAAGTTTCACTGTGTAAGTCAGCGGGAAACAGGGCATGGAGCTGTGTGCCCTCATCCTGGAGATGCTTCCGCATACGAGATAACCGACTAATCATTAACTAGGTACACTACCAGGTTAGCTGATCACTAACTAGGTACACTACCAGGTTAGCTGTTCTCAGTCCTAGCTGGTGGCCTGAAGATGGGTTACAACAATCCCTTTGAAGAAGTTTGGAAGAAGGATACAGAATTTACTTCAAGTCATTTTGAGATCTTCCCAATGACACTGCAAGTATCAATAGTCCTTCAGGGCATGGGACACAAATGCTCTGCTCACATTCATGAAACCACCGGTGTGGGACAGTGAAGCTTGCCAGTGTGAGCTAACTGCACACGCTGCCTAACCATCTGACTTAGCACCGGAGAGTCAAGTGCTCAGACGTGCCACCTCGAGCTATCAGCTACTGTTGCATAAACACTGCACAGAATGTTCCCAACCTTAGAGATTCTTTAACTACCCCAAGTGCTCCATCTCCATGGCAAACATTTTACCTCTTATGTTAAAATTCCTAGATAAACTAGTTCAGCTCTCTGAATCATTTAGCTTTAACTGAAATATGAAAGGGGGAACCCTACAACTTTTAAAATTCCTTTTAAGTTTTTATTGTTTATTTTCACACGTATAGGTGTTTTACCTGCATGTATGTCTGCATACCACATGCCGACAGAGCCAGAGAGGGTGTTAGATCCCCTGAGACTGGACTTACAGATGTTTGTGAGCCACCATGTGGGCGCTAGGAATTGAATCCAGGTACTCTAGAAATGCCAGCGCATGTAATTGCTGAGCCATGACTCCAGCCTCCAAATTCACAGTTTTTAATGGCACGTAAGTCACTATGAAGATGGTCATGACTGTCCTGAGACACGTGACAGAACAGTCAATGCATGATGGAACACACCCTGATGATGGACACATTTAGACCGGATGTAAGACCAATGAAATCCACTCCCCATAACAAGCACAGGTAGCAGAACCATGTAGAAGGCAATGGGATTTGTTGTTGCAATGTAAGGCTAAGGGATGACAAAGCCCTTCCCAGCCTGTGTGTGAAGAGAGGAAGGAGGAAGCAGCCTTTACTGAAGCAACGATGAATGTGAACGCAGAGAAAGCAGAGAAGTGTGTTATTCACACACATGGGCTAAGCCTCATATGCAATCATGTGCTATGCTGCGGTGTGGCCTTTAATCCCAGCACTCAGGAGGCAGGGATCTCCGAGTTAATCTCTGAGTTTAAGGCCAGCCTGATCTATGGAGCTAGTTCTAGGACAGATAGGGCTACACAGAGAAACCTAGAGCCATGACAGGTGGAGCTAGTCTCCCAAGAAGACATTACAGTTCTGGAAATTTAGCAGACTACTTGACAGGACAAGCTGGAGCCAGGAATCCGATGGGCCAATGGTGGGAATAAGGGGAGGGGACGATGCACACCTTAGCTCAGCTTAAACATAAACCTTACGTCAAGACCTGAAGAGAGTTTGGGGGCACAGGACTCTTTTGTTGTTGTTCCTCTTCCTAATGTGATCATATTGAACAAGTCTTTTGTGAATGTGTGCATATTCGTCTGTTTGTGTGTGTGTGTGTGTGTGTGTGTGTGTGTGTGTGTGTGTGCGCGCACGTGCGTGCTTGTGGAGGTCAATCTCCAAATACTCCCTCAGGAGCTGCTCACTTTGGTATTTGGGTCTTCCGTGGGATCTCCGATTAGGCTAGTATCTTAGTTAGGGTTTTACTGCTGTGAACAGACATGACCAAGGCAATTCTTATAAGGACAATCTTTAATTGGGGCTGGCTTACAGGTTCAGAGGTTCAGTCCATTATCCTCAAGGTGGGAACATGGCAGCATCCAGACAGGTATGGTACAGGAGGAGCTGAGAGTTCAATATTTTCATCTGAAGGCTGGTAGCAGAATACTGACTTCCAGGCAGCTAGGATGAGGGTCTTAAAGCCCACACCCACAGTGATACACCTACTCCAACCAGGTCACAACTCCAAATAGTACAACTCCCTGATCCAAGCACATACAAACCATCCCAGCTAGGTTGGTTGGCCAGTGAGTTCCAGTCCCTGAGGGCCACCAGTCTTTTCCTCTCAAGCATTAGGATTACAAATGGCTGCCACCAAGCCCAGCTTCTTATGAGAATCCTGGGGACTGAACTCAGGCTCACAAGCACTTTGCCCACTGAGATTTCTCCTCATTTGTCTCTTTCATTGTCATATTGGTGGACAAGCGGACAAGCTGTGGCACTGCCAGAACCCGAACTCTGTCCCTAACAACTTCCGAAGAATCTCTACGCTGATTCTCTAAACCAGTGGGCGGTTTCCTGATTTCATGGGAACTGCATACTACACTGTGGTCTTTCACTTCAGTGAGTATTTGGAAATGCTTTAACCTAGACAGACTGCACGAGACAGGGAAGGATACCACCCTCTCAAGACTGTCCTTTTGCCAGTTAAACTTCTTCCCCCAAACAAACCTGGGCTTCTCGCATAATGTCTCTGACAATTTGTACCTCTGTCCTCTAGGGGGCAGCACCGACCTCATTAGGACTACAGCTAATTTCTCAGAGAAGCAAAGCTGGAAAGGTCAGGTAAGCAGTGTATTTTGATCCCTTTCCTGTCACTGGTTCCTTGAGAACAGGAAGGGTACAGGACACATCACAGTCACAACATGACAATCGACACAGAGATGCACAGTAGAAATGTCCATGGCCTGAACCCATCAGGACTCTGTTGTCCCTTTCAACATGTTACAAGTGCTTCATAATTTCCTTCTCAACCGAAGAGCCAGGAAGAGACCTCAGAATCACTGTTTGTTTCAGCACCTTCATTTTCTACAGCGTCCCTGCCAGTGCCAGCAGCAGCTGCAGACCAGAGCATTGTCTAAGAACAGCAGGCTCCCTCCTTGCCAGCCCTGCCTGCAGGCTGCTGTGGTTTGTTAATGTCACACTAGGGGGCGGGGGACACCTAAAGCAAAACCCCAGTTACTCAAAGATAACCACAGACTCCAGATGCTGCTGTATGTAAACTGGGGGCTGGGGAGGGAGCAGAGCATCAGTTCAGAACCACCACCACAGCAACAAGCAGCCCTGGACCCTTGCCTTCCGGTTCTGGCCCTCCTCCTCTCCTCTGCCTAGTGGCTGTCTGGACTTCATTACCTTCATGAGTGTCCAACGAGGAGGCCACCCAAAGCTGAAGAAGGGATTGATTGAACAATCGATCGTTCAGGAATGAGAAAAACTGAAACCAGGCTCAGCCCATATCTCTGACGGTCTGAGCCAGTCTCCAGGGAGCTCACAGTGTGGCCTTGTCCCTTTGTCATGGACAGTCATCAGAGCTGTGGGCAGGATGGCTCAACCCCTTAGCCCACAGGCACCACTTCCGGGCCCTCACTTCCTTCCTTCACTATGCATTGTTTAAAGAAAAAGATGAAGTCTTAAGACATCCGGGAACCACCCACCTCCCGACTTCAGGGTAAATCCTTTTCTTTTGCTTCCTTCAGGACCCAGCTGACACACGCCTGCCTGCCATGCCATGCCAATGCCAAGCTGGGAGTACCACAGCTTTCTGCTGCCCTGTCTTAAAAGAGCTGTAAGCATCAGGATGTGACTCTTTCATCTTATCTCTCAAACCCAGCAAGGGGCCTGGCATGCAGAGCTCACTCAATATGTGTTTGGGGTCTGAAGGAGCAAAGAGGCAGTGAAGCAAACTATGAAAGTGACAGCTTGCAACGGGTAAGCACAGAGGCCTTCTCAATTTTCAGATATGCTCTTAACTTCATGATGGCTACTGCCACCAAGGCATATGGCATGACAGATGACATCCTTAGAGAGTAAGAGGTATATTTGTAAACCATACTTTTTCCCCCTGTGAAGCACAGGCTTCGTTATGTTAAGCATCAAGCTGCAGAGTCAGAAAAACACAGGTTCAGATTCTAGTCTTATCTAGTTTGAGCTACCGATGGCGTTCAAACTCTGCTGGGACTGTGCACTTGTCCAGTGTCATCCCTCATGACGCTCAGGTTGCCCACCATGGGCTAGGGTGTTTGAATGCTTTGTCCCCATCTGCTGATGCTGCTTTGGAAGCTTCCGAAACCTGTTAGACATGAGGCTTAGCAGACATCTGTAGAAGGGTAGGGCTGGCCAAAGCGCTGTGCTCCCTGGGATGACGGGTGCAGGCCATGCCACTGGCTCCCACCACCAACGATAAAAGCCAGTGCTCCCACAAGCCTTCCCCACTGGAAGCCAAAAGAAATCTTCCTGCCTTTGCATTACTTCTCTTCAGGTATTTGACTGAAGCAAAGAGAAAACTAAGCATCATGCAGCTCTACTCGTTTTTATTGCTGGTTACTAAGCCGAGTCCCAGACGGTGCTAGAACAGCCAGACAGCCCAGCTCCTCCTCCTCTACCCTTGAGATGAGGGCATGGACCTCACAACACAAAGCAAGCTCAAGGTTTAGGACAAAGCAAGAGGTGCCCCAGTTAGTCGAATGAGTTAGAATCCCATTTACAGAGAAGCCATTCTCCTCCCCCCCCCCCCCCGGTTGGGGGCTGAACACATCAGCCTGCTTGGCTCTCAGTTTCCACTGTGGATGACATCATCATTTAGAGTCATTTTCTTCTTTCATCTCACTGCAGTGCCAACAGGTCATCAGCACTGGATCAACCATGAGATACTTAAAGAGATGGCAGAGAAGATGTTGATTGGCAGCAGGCTCGCTAGTAGTACTTACGGAGACAAGTGGTACTCAGCCCCACCAGCTGTTAGAGTGCTAGAAGAAGCCAAATTCTGGGTCCTTTGGTTATTTCAAAGGTAACTCGGAAATTTAAAATATTATACATGTTCAGACACAATAAAAGAGGCAGTAAACTCAGGGCAGCATTACCCATAACACTAAATGACATAAACAACCATGTAAGCTATACGGTGGGGTACCACACAATGGGGAAGCTCTAAGATGCAGAGGCAGCTCAGTTAGCAGAGTACTTGCCAAGAGATGGACAAAGCCCTGGGTTCAGTCACCGCCTATAATCCCAGCAAGCAAGGTCATTCGTGGCTACAGACTGAGCTTCAAGTCAGCCTGGCCTACAGGAGACATTGTTCCAAGAAATCAAAGAAAATGAGGAAGCCCTCACAAGACAAAAGCAAGATGAGTTAAGTAAGAAACAGCGATGTTCAAAGGAAGCATGGATAGCATGCTATGACTGCACAATAGAGCAAGGTGATACCGTGAATCCCAGCACCAGGCGGGCAGAGGCAGGAGGATCATGAGTTCGGTGCCAGCCTAGGGTATAGGTGCCTGCTACCAAGCCTAATGACTTGAGTTTGATCCTCAGGACCTGTACGGTTGCAGGAGAGAACTGGGCTCCACTCTTACACTGGGACACTTGTCCTATGAAGTGGGTAGGGAGAAGAAGGTACTGTTCCTCCTTCAGAGCATGGTATTGTGGGGTCCTTCTCTGAACACTAGCTGTCGCTCACACCTCTCTAGACCAGGAGCAGAGGCCACATGCTCCTTCTCGTTCTTTCTTCTCCCTGACTCTTCCAGGAAGCCCAAAAGGACACCGGTGACATTTACACGTAGCCCCTCTGCCTATCCCTCTCCTTGTCACTGTGAACAAATTAGTGTTATTAGTCTGAATTTTGACCTCAAAAAGAACAGGCTCTCGTGCAGTCAGAGTGGTTACCCCAGTGTCTCAGAATGTAGTCTCATTTAGAAAGTAGGTTGTTGGGTGCAAGTAGTGAAACTGAGGCCATACTGGAGTAGAAGGGGCCTCTAAGCAAACATGATTGCATTCTTATGAACTGTCCCAGACACACACACACACACACACACACACACACACACACACACACACACAC